TGTCAACATCACTTTTCCCAGCCGATGGTTGAGTTGTCAACTTATTTATGACCTGCGATGTCAGATGTTTCCATTCCTTACTCTGGTGTTTGCTTTCTGGGGTGTAATGGTGGATCCACGTCTCATCCCCAGTGGCAATGCATCTCAAAAAATCGTTACGATACCTGTTCAAAGTCTTTCTTGGATGATTCCACGAGCAGAACCATGACTGATGCGCAGAAGATTTGCCATTTCATCTATAGTAACCTGTTGATATCCACAATAATAGCATAGACTTCTTCGATGTTTTCCTCTATGGTGGATATGGACGGGCGTCCCAATCGTTCTTCATCGGCGACACTTGTGCGATCGTTTCTGAACATGGTTATCAATTTGTATACACTTCACTGCGATAATAACTTTCCATATTGTGCTGAAAGTCTGCCTCTCGTATAGCTTCAGCCCACAGAAATCACTCCACACTGCTCTTTTTTGGTGCATACAGAAAGTGGAACGGCCATCTTAACTCTACAGCAACGACACTACAATTGGCCGGTTAAGGTCGAAAATATTTTACAATAATGTAGTGTCCTTGCTTCTACCTGTGTGCAAAGTAAACAGTGTAGTGAACACAACAAGCTGTAAAATAAATCATTGTGGAAACTTTGTGACTGACTTACCCTTGTAGATCAAACATCTTCTAGGATGGTTTGAACTTCTCATGATTACTAAATGTAATTGTGCAAGACATCTCTTCAAACAATAACCACATTTCTTGTCTCCATGATGTTCTGATGTGATGAATGTCATTTATGTCTTTTCTGTATTGAAGAGGCTGAATATTGCCTAAGAAGACGTTCGATTCAGTAGGATGTTGGGAACAAGAACAGAATTGTTTTGTCGGTAGCATTTCCTTGCACATGAATAACCTTGTCTTCAAAAAAAAAAAAAAAAAACCCCCCCCCCACATGTTAAGGACATGCATGTTACAGATTTAAACTTCTGTCACAATGATACTCTTTAATTATCCATAACATGAGATGCTAGGAGTGGTACTGGAAATGTTTGTCAGGATTAGACATTATACATAAAAATTATGAACGGTCCAAGAAATTGCTGCTGTTGGTGGAGCAGGAAGTACAAATTTACACTGTTCTGTTGGTTTGTTTGTTTTCTGATGTGCATTTAATATACATGACATTTCTTGATTTGGCTGTTGTGAATGAACCCAAGGCCCTGTGGTTTCAAATCTTTACCTGGAATAGTGTGCTGCTACTTATATTAACAATATGTTAGTGTTATACATTCACCATAAGACAGAGGTACAAGATCTGTTTTCTAAGGTGTCACGTTATGATTCTGACCACTGCCATCAGTATTTAAAATGTAAAATATATCAGTATTGCAACTGATCATATGGGGGCTGAAGCAGAGCTGACTCCTGGAATGTGTGTGTTCACTGTACCACAGATGATGCATGGGTCATGCCCAATATATTTACAGTGGCTTTGAGTCATTGTTACAAATCTTGTGTGAGAGCCAAGTACTGGAACTGTATGACAGAAATATAGTTATATGT